TTTGATCATTTTCAGCTAGAATATCATTTGTCATTTGCTAGCAGATAATTTTGGCTTCTAAGTAGCCGTAAGTGCACTCTAAACCATCCTTACTACCTTTAGGGCCTTGATCCTATTCCTAACTCACTCCAGTGGCCATGCCCCCTGACTAGCACGACATGTAGTAAATTCAATATATCGTCAGTCAGCACTCAGCAGTGCATGATCGAGAATCGTGTATCATCAGCATTTTTAAGCTTGCACACTGACAGATTCCAGGGGGCATTCGGGGTAGATGCCCCCCCCCCATCATGCACAGTGTCATGATAATATAGGTATGTCCACCAATGACCACTGTGACCACCATGCCATATGTGGATGGTCCATGATTGTGATGATACTTCAAACATACATACATGCACAGTGCCGTAGACTGTCTGGATCTGCCTAAGAGTGTGCACAGCTGTTTTCATAAGTTTTTTTTTAACTTGCCCCTCCCCACCTGTTTCAGACACCATCAGATATCCTCCAGCATAGCAAGATGGCCTCCCCAGAGGGACTGGAGTTTGTTCTGCCAGGTGATGTGATTGAGGCCGAGGATGACGTGGACCTGGGCCCGGGACTGCGGCGTGATCCACGTGGCTGCGTGGTCCTCCAGCCCGGCGTGCACCGGTTCCGGGCGCCGCGCACCCACTGGGTGGACACACACTGCCGCCGGTACGTGCCCGTCCGGGGACAGTGCGTCATCGGCACCGTGACCGCGCGCGCCGGCGACTTTTTCCGGGTGGACATCGGCGCTCACGAACCGGCCGTGCTCTCCTACTTGTCCTTCGAGGGCGCCACCAAGAAGAACCGTCCGAACGTGCAGGTGGGCGACCTGGTGCTGGCGCGCCTGCTGGTCGCCAACAAGGACATGGAGCCGGAACTGGTGTGCGTCAACTCCAAGGGCCGCGCCGAGGGCCTCGGCGTGCTGGCCGCGGAGGGAGCGCTCGACTTCCGCGTGCCGCTGCACGTGTGCCGCAAGGTGCTGTCGCCGCTGTGCGGCCTGCTGGGCCGGCTGGGCTCCGAGCTGCGCTTCGAGATGGCCGTGGGGATGAACGGCCGCGTGTGGGCGCGCAGCGACAGCCTGCGGTACACGGCGGCCGTGGCGGCCGCCATCTGCGCCTGCGAGCACATGGACGAGCAGCAGATCGCGGCCATGTGCCGGGACATCACCGCCGCCGCGCACCAGAACCGGTGAGGGATAGCGAGGGTCCGGGCCGCGCAGATGTGAACGTCTGAACCAACAGTGGAAGAACTTGACCGTCTGAGTGGGAACCGGTGCATTCGTGTTTGTGCGGACCGTGGAACGTGGTTACTCTGACGCCGTCCAGGCCATGCAGAGAACTGTGGTTACCGTCGCAGTGAGCCGACGGGTCTATTCCATCACCGAGCTATCACCGCCAAGTCTTTTACGAACTCAAATGGGCCGATGGTCTCTGGTCATGGCTGGCCCCGACTGTGGCGTCGACTGAGCCCCCGCTGACACCGCCGACCGGTGAGCTGTCGGCGTCGGGTCTCCCGTGGAGCACTACGGATGATCAGGGAAGGCTGGTGTGAATACGCGCTGTGCGGACTGTTTCACGCAAGTGTGGGTAAGATGTCTCGTTATAGCCGTGATGTGATTGTTCATAGGCGTCATTCAGCTATCGTGAGATGCTGCGAGTCATTGGTCATAAAAACGGTACATAAAAAATCCATTATCTTCCAAAGACTTAAAGATTTGTTGATATGCATCGCATTTCATTCATTGAGCTCAATACATCTCCGAAGAATGCTGTTACGTATGGTGCGGACCCGCGTGCTGAGATACGCTCAAAGTAAGAAACTTGGATAGAAATGCGTAAAGTAGGTACCTAACGCATGGTCGGTACTGGCACGATACGAGAACCTATCACATGGCATCACTTGAACGGTTAAAAACATAATCACTCACTGACACAAGTTACGTTTACAGCAATTGAACGCATGCCGCGCTATACGTCGTGGGAACAGACGTGTGTACTATTCTTATGCATCGTAGGCGAAAACAGTAGAGTTCATCGAGATACCGCCGACTCGATTAAATTATTTAGCACTATTTCACAGCCTGAGTGAACGCTCCGTTCGCGGTCGGTCACCGCTCCAGTTCACCGGTCAGACAGCCGTGCCGTCAGCCATTGAAGAACTGGTGCACGGACCTGAGCACGATCTCTGCTAATAGCCGTGCCGTCAGCCGTTGAAGAGCTGATCTGGTCCCAGTCAACTGTCAGCCGTTGAAGAACTGGTGCACGGTCTGCGCCAGGGCCGGGCCCAGCAGCGGCGCCAGCTGCTCGGCCGCCGCCGCGCTCAGCGCCGCTAGCGAGCCGAACTGGGCCAGCAGCGCGTCCGCCTTCTTGGCGCCCAGTCCGGGCACGGCAGTGAGCGCGGCGGCCACCCGGCGCGCCGCGGGCGGCTCGTCGGCCGGCCGGCCCGCCAGCGGCTGCGGCGCGCCGCGCTCGGCCGCCGCCGCCAGCTCTGCCAGCAGCTGCGGCAGCTCGGCCAGCGAGCCGACCGGCAGCGCGGCCAGTCGCAGCTCGAGCGCCGCCTCCAGCTGCAGCTCGGACCAGGGCGCCGCCGTCACCGGCGTCCGCTCCAGCACGGCCACCTGGCGGCCAGCAGCAGGGACGGCCGGTCACAGGGCGGGCGGGGCCTCCTCACCGGCCGGGCGGTCGGAGATGGGCAGTGACGGAACGATATGACGAACACAGGTCACATCACAACACTTTGTGACTGCAACAAAGTATTGTGTGAACAGTGGGAGGAAAGCACAAGGCAAACACTGCATAGTGCATGTACAGCATGCCCAAAGCTGTATTGTGTGTAGCCGCAGCGTAAAACCGAAGACAGCGATCTGACCTTGTGCGGCATGCTTGCCTGCGCCAGTGTCACCAGCCGCCGGCGGCAGAGCTGTGGGCTCATCAGGTCGCGCTCGGTGAGCAGCAGCACGGCCGTATCCGACGCCGGGAGGAAGTCGGCCACTCCCAGCCGGTCCGAGAACAGGGGCCGCAGCGTGCCGGCGCGCAGCACGGCCGCCAGCTCGGAGCCCTGCCAGCGCAGCGACACCAGCACCCGGCCGGGCGGCACCGGCTGCGGCCGCGGCGGGCTGGAGGCCTGCGTCAGCGGCGCGCCAGACATCGCAGCGGCCTGCTGTGCCGGAGACATCAGATATCAGTACTTCATCTACCTTGGAGCTACCTAACAAGACAGCCACAAGACAGTGACAGGCTGGCTTCCAGCAAAACATTTTGATTAGCACTACTAAATAAGATGTATCTTTAAAATTATAATAATTAACAAAACCCAGTGATTCTTACTAACTGAAGTCTGGATGCTGGATTGCTGTTTCAATGCTCAAAGTTTTTTCTTCAAAGATGTGTTTCAACATTTTTTAAGAATGAATTCCCAATTCCCATAGCAAGGAGTGTGGAGCACACACATGACACAGTGCAGGAGTCAGGACACAGTACTCTTTGCACACTGTTGAAAAGAAAATTCTGACCAACACAGACCACACACTGGAGATATTTATCTATACCATTAAAAACCTGACACTGCAAGTTCAGTGACTTAGCTACAGGGTTGATAGGTAGGGTCCAACTCCAGGCATACAATTGACTCATTATTTTTTTTTAACCTAAAACAATTGAAGTCACAGATTGGTTTTGTTGCCATGCTTGGTGTACAATTTGTTTAATGATTAACAATTCAAAATTGAGAGACACATGGCATATCTATGTTATTCATTGTATATTTATCATGTCTCTGATCAACTGATAACAGAAAAACCATCAAGCCATTATTCACTTTGTCTAGAAAAAAATACCTACCAAGCAAGGTAACGGTGTGGCAGGCGTCACTTTGGCGACACCTGCGCCTGCCCCACCGTTACCCCAAGGCCCAAGCAGTTACATACCAAGGGCTGTACATAAGCACCTACAAACTTGAATGCTTTCAATCTTTCATATTGATCTTGATCTTGATCTACTGATTGTGATTGTATATAGGATCTTGCTACTGATGGGTAAAATGTTTCAGCTTTGAATCCAACAGCGGTAACAGTAAGCAAACAATAAGTTGAAGTCAGTGAAGTTGACTTAACCACTTCGACTTATAGTAGGCCGGCAAGGATGAAGAGATGAAACCCTCATTATATTCTACATTGAAAAGCAATTTACCTGAAATCGTCCAACGCAAGGCCGTATATCAACGATGTTACAAAAATATGAATTGAAATATAAACAAAAAGAGCGAGAAAAACCCACAATAAAGCCTGATGATGATGACGAAAATCAAAATTAATTTTAGCTGTCGCGCCTTGTGCGCCACATTGTCATTGATGCGCAGATATCACACACAAAATGAAATATGGCCTCATTTTCACTTCCCCAAATAACTTTAGATATAGGAAAATACTTCATCTCACATCTGTGACTCTTCCTCTGGCAAAGAAATTAAAATTAATATATTCATCTGCCTTTTATTTCACTTATGTTCTATTTGACCAGGTTTTACTAAGAAAGCGGGAAAAATCATCACAATCGAAAACAACGTATTTTTTCAAAACATTTCTCTTTTGAATCTCTTCCCGACCTACAGACCCATTTCTCCGTTTTACTTACAAACGGTAGGTTAGTACCTACACTCGTCTACGGTCTAACGTCTTATGTAGCTTAGCACATTCCATGCCTGTTTCGGCTGTTTGTCTTGTCGCCATCGCTGTACATTTTACTTCCATTCACATTTCAAAGCATTAGTCGGAAGGCGAGTACGAAATCGGTATGGCAGTGCCATTGGTATGCGCGCCTTCCCAGCCACTTGACCACAGACCACTGATCGATGATCACTGATCAGTCCTCTTCGGGGCCATCAGCCCGTGGTTATGCTTCAAAAGCATTTCCTATACGGGGCAAAGCGATCAGATACAACCGATCCTATCTATGAGAAGATATTATACAAAGGTCTTTGAAACACATTCGTTTTTATTATAAAGTCAACATCAGAAAATGCAAATACAAACGGAGCTCAGCGAACGCAGCTCAGCTCAGCGTCTGAAGACACTGGAGACACACCGATGGCCGCGTCAGCATCCCGCCAGATTGTTTTTTTCTCTCGCCATCAACACATTCCACGCTGTCACTGGTTTAACAATGGTTACAAAATGGAAGGAGGCAACGCCACGACAAAACCATGCTATATATCAACTTCCTACGATACAGAGGGCGCAAGGGATGCCCTTTGGTATCGTGCATACGTGACAATTTTAATACGTCACATTGTTCAACATTTGAGATGCATGCTATCGAACGTGTTACTCAGCCTTAAAATTAAGGGTACAAGATCCAGCCGACCGGGACATTTCTTACGGGCAAACAATATCGACACCTTTTTTTAAACCCCACATCTGCTCTCCCGTGAATTTCCGGGAGGCACGAAAGATCTCCTTTTAAAAGTGTCCAATCGTCCGATCCTGATCAAATATGTGTGTTCGTAGGCCTGTTCTGGTATTGCTTTATCTGCCAAGACAGACAAACTTGAGAAAAATCGAGTGATTGTACCTTTTTTGAAGGTCTCTAACCAACTTGTCTGAAATTCACCGGAGAACAAATGTGGGGTTTAAAAAAAGGTGTCGATATTTGCAATTACCTTGCTGGAACGGCATGGTACCAAGAACCCAAACAAATTTATCATGCACAGTCCAAATGATCCTACAAGCCATCTTCACACGCTATAAGCCACCGTGCGGTCAGATCACATTTTGTATATGCACATGTAAATAATAATCATGCATTGGTATTCAATATACAATTACATCCTATCCGACATCACATTTAACGCAAGCAACCAACAGTGTAGATTATTCGTAGCTATACATACGCAGCTTGCATTCTGAGATAAAGCAGTAGCGCCACGCTAAAACATCGGGCGCTGGGCAAATACGTGACCTCATTCATGCACTTAATTGACGGTTCCAGTTGGTTCTGCCAGACACAATCCGTCCCACTCGCCTCGCCAATGTAACGGCCCTTCCGGACGGCATCACACGCGGCCACGGCGAGCGCACGGCCGTAGCACGGCCACAGCCGGACTCACCTACCGCGGCACGGCTGTTCCCCACAGTACCGGCGCTAGAGTGGAACCAATCACCCTCCTCACAGACACGAACCTACTTAATCAACCGCATCAGCACACGTCCACACTTCAGAAAGCCTTTCCACACGCCGATGCAGCTCGTCGGATTGTCGTCGGTAGCGCCCTCTCCGCGCGGCCGGTTCGGGGCGTCGGGCGGCGCCAGCAGCCACGGCTGGGATCGGGAGCCGTAGACGAACAGAGGGTACGACGCGACGGTACTACCCCGAGCACACAGAGTGCACCACCATGCAGCAGCTGCGCTACCCTCAACATGCAGAGGGCACCGCGCGACAGTGCCCGCCTGGGCGCGCAGAGGGCACCACGCACGGCGCGGTGGCTGGCGTAAAACTCTGTACACAGCACGGAGGACGAATGATTGATCTAAACGGGAAAGCAGCCGACGAACTTCTGAGAATATCGAGAACCGTGTGGTCGACTCAGGAACGAATCACGGTTCAGGGGCGGACACAGCAGTCGCGGGCGGACAGCACACCTGAGTCCGAGTCTCGACCCCCTGTGGAGTGCGGTGTCCGCCAGAGGGCGCCCCACGCGGCTTCCTAACACCGAGCCGGCGGCGACCCTCAGCAGTAGAGCAGGATGCGTTTCTCGACCGTTTTGCGGCAGATGGGGCACTCCTGCATCCGGTCGCCGCACATCTGACACGTGCCGTGGCCGCACAGGAAGATCATGTTCTTCAGCCGGTCCAGGCACACCGGGCACATTGTCTGCGGACATGGTCAGAAGGGCACAGCGTCATGGGGCGGATACTGCCAGCAGGCAGAGGGCGGGCGCAAACGAAAAAGTTTCTCATTTCTTCCCGTGCCATTATAACTGTGGAAGAAGCTGCTTTTGAAAATAGCTTTTCGAGAGATATACCACCTCAGTTTCTCATATGCCTCAATTCCCTATCATACTCCTCAGATTAGGGGATAGGACAGAGTGTGCATATAGGGTGTAACAGAAAGATAAAGTTCATATAGTCTCTTTTGTCCACAATCCCCTGTTGATCCCCGTTCCGAACCCAGTTTTCCCGTCCGCACTGACCTGCTCCTTGATGTCCTGCAGCTGCTGCTGCAGCTTCTGGACGTCCGAGTGGTTGTTCATGGGCCGCTGGGCTCCCGCCGCGTTGGTGGCCATCCGGCCGGGCCCGGCTGCTGCCGCGGCGGCCGCGTTGGCAGCAGCGGCAGCGGCCGCCGCCGCCGCAGCCGCCGCGCTGGCCGGGTTGTTCGGAGCGCCGCCCGTAGCGCCCAGGTCCGAGTCGCTCAGGTCACCGCCGCTGTCCGGCCCTGAGGGAGGGGGACGGAGGTCAGACTCAGGTCACCGCCGCTGTCCGGTCCTGAGGGAGGGGGACGGAGGTCAGACTCAGGTCACCGCCGCTGTCCGGTCCTGGGGGAGGGGGACAGAGGTCAGGTCACCGCCGCCGCCGCAGCCGCCGCGCTGGCCGGGTTGTTCGGGGCGCCGCCCGTCGCGCCCAGATCCGAGTCGCTCAGGTCACCGCCGCTGTCCGGCCCTGACGGAGGGGGACAGACAGGTCAGACTCAGGTCACCGCCGCTGTCCGGCCCTGAGGGAGGGGGACGGAGGTCAGACTCAGGTCACCGCCGCTGTCCGGTCCTGAGGGAGGGGGACGGAGGTCAGACTCAGGTCACCGCCGCTGTCCGGTCCTGGGGGAGGGGGACAGAGGTCAGGTCACCGCCGCCGCCGCAGCCGCCGCGCTGGCCGGGTTGTTCGGGGCGCCGCCCGTCGCGCCCAGATCCGAGTCGCTCAGGTCACCGCCGCTGTCCGGCCCTGACGGAGGGGGACAGACAGGTCAGACTCAGGTCACCGCCGCTGTCCGGCCCTGAGGGAGGGGGACGGAGGTCAGACTCAGGTCACCGCCGCTGTCCGGCCCTGAGGGAGGGGGACGGAGGTCAGACTCAGGTCACCGCCGCTGTCCGGTCCTGATGGAGGGAGATGGAGGTCAGACTCAGGTCACCGCCGCTGTCCGGCCCTGGGGGAGGTAGGGTATGTCAAGAGACTGAAAGGGATCACTTTCTGGAAAAAAAGCCAGGGAAAGAGGATGGCTACCAAGAGTGAGGTCAGAGTCAGACAACGTGAGAGCTCCTGAGGCACACCAAAGGTGGTCAGGTGCCCGGAGAGGAGTTAGCAGCCTGGGGAGATGTGCACTAAAAGACTGATAAAGGACGATTACCGCCCAGTAGGTAGGTGTTCGATACTCACCCTCGAGGCCGCAGCAGACGGCCAGCGGCACGCGGGCCTCGACGGGCGCGCGGCACTTGACGCACTTCTTCATGAGCGTGGCGCAGGAGTGGCAGGCCACCATGTGCTGGCACGGCCGGAACATCACCGAGGCCCGCTTGTCCGAGCAGATGATGCAGTCCTCCAGCTGCCGACGCACAGAAGAGGGGTGGGGTGGGGTCAGCCGGCTGAGGGAGGATGAATAGGTCGATACGATCACATAGATGTCCATGTAACGTGTTAGGTAGGTGAGCAAACGGCCAGTTACCGGAGACAAGCAGAGTACCTAAACGAGTGCGTTAGTGCAGTGAAAATTAACCACCTAACTGGAGCTGCGGACACATCGAGTTCTCAATAAGGACGTAGACAGCCCCGCTGGTTAGGATTAATAGCGGTCTTAAATTACATGAGGACCAGAACACAGTGCCTCTTTCCATTACCCTGACATTCTTAATTGTGACCGACAGTAACGACCGAATTCTCGTGTAAAATTGATGGCATAACAAACAGCTGGACTGAGATCAGACGACACATACAGCCGAACGGACGGCTCTGACTCCCTCGCGTCGAAAACACCCCACGCCTCGTGTGAGCCCACCACCCGCGACTCTCCCTCCCCTCCCCCACCCGGCGGCGGCACTGACCTCCGAGTGGCTGAGCACCTCGCGCCGGCAGATCAGACACTTTTTGACGCGGTCGGCGCAGCTGGCGCACGTGCACACGTGGCCACACGGCTGGAACAGCACGTCGCGCTTGTTGTCCGAGCAGACCATACACTCCTCGGCGGCGGCGGCCGTGGACGCGTCACCGGCCGCGTCGCCGCCGCTCGCCGCGCCGCTCGACCGAGACGAGGTCATGACGCGCTCAGTCGCCTCCCTGTCAGGTCACAGCGGTCACAGAGGTCACACTGGGTCAGACGAGGTCATGACGCGCTCAGTGGCCTCCCTGTCAGGTCACAGCGGTCACAGAGGTCACACTGGGTCAGACGAGGTCATGATATATCCATGACAGGCCAAGGGGTCACACTAGGTTAGACGAGGTCATGATTGATAGGTGCCTCCACGAGATATCAAGAGCAAATCGAATCGGGCAAAGGCATAGCACGTATCACTGACCGTCGGGACATCACAGGGGTAAGTTATTTTGACCAAGCATTTTGCGTATGAGCATTGAGCATATGCCGTTTGCGTGACGCATAGTGATTAATACTGAAGGCATGTTCCGACGGCGCCTTTGGCTACCTCTCAGTCACCTAACTCCCCGCCGCCAGCTCACTCACACGGACTTCTCCCGGTAGCACTTGGCCAGCGCCTTGCTGAGGTTGGGGTCGGGGCACAGGTCGAGCGGCGTCTGTCCCTTCTTGTTCTTGATGGTGAGGTCGGCGCCGTTGGCAGCCAGGAAGCAGGCGATCGAGGCGGACGACTTTTTGTCGGAGCCCTGGCTGCCCAGTCCCATCACCAGCTGGGGAGAGATCAGGTCATAGGTCAGCAGTGGGCCAGGGGAGGACAACCATAGGGGAATCGAAATCAGACGTAAGTAGTATACCGGTCAGCATTTATCAAGTTACAAATACACTTGTATAAATGTTTGGCATTTGACACAAGTATCATCGCAATTGTCATTCATAAGGCGCCTGTCTTAAAAAGATCGTAGGTGTTTTAAAAACGATAGGAATAATGCCGGCATAAAATAGTGCCGGTAGGTGCTAGCTCCCTTCATGACTCATACCAACCGTCCAGGCACGCTCACCTCAGCTCCCCTATTTCCCACAGTGCGCTCTCACCTTGCTGACGCTGACGTCGGGCATGTCCTGCAACTGCCGCAGCTGGGAGAGCGTGTGGTGGCGCAGCGCCTCGTGCAGCGGCGTGTCGCCGTCCTTGTCCTGCACGTTCAGGTTGCAGCCCTCGCGCACCAGCAGGCGCACGATCTGCACGTGCTGCCGCTCGACGGCCAGGTGCAGGGCCGTCTGCAGGTTGACGTTCTGCAGGTCCATGTTGGCCTTGCCCTGGATGACGAGCAGCTCGGCCACCTCGACGTGGCTGTTGAGCGCGGCCAGGTGCAGAGCCGTGTAGCCGTCGTCCTTCTTTTCGTCCACCAGCCACGGCCGGGACAGCTTCGACAACAGCACGCGCATCGCGCTGAGCAGACAGAGGGGAACGGGGAGGTCAGGGAGCGGCACACATCGCGCTGAGCAGACAGAGGGGGGGGGGGGGGGTCAGGGGGAGGCACGCATCGCACTGAGCACGAGGAGGGAGCGGGGAACGCGCGGCACACTCCCACCGCAGAGGTACGGAGGGCAGGGCAACGCTCACACTCACCGCAAGGAGGTCAACTAGCCAGAAAACGTCAAATATCCTTTGGTATGGGACAAGTAGCGAAAAGAAGACAAGGAACATCGATTGTTACAAACCTGTTGCAAAAAAAAAAACTGCTAGCTCTATAACAGGTGGAGTCCTACGAAAAAAAACGTTTCGTACAACCAAGCGGGAAAATACGTTTAATTCAAAATGAGATCAGCAGCTCATATGTCCACTGTCCAGATACCTTGTGAGCCGCTTATCTGTGACAAAACCTTGCTGGGGAAACGAGCATTTATTTATACGTGACAATGAATACCGGCCCGCAAACATCCCGTAGAAAAACGAGCCAGAAGCAATGAGCCGACCGAGAAGACGGAGCCGAGGCGAGTTGCGCCGCGACAGGAGCGTCTCAGATTCCATTCCTTTCCGAGCCCAGCTGTGGAACTGGGCAGGCAGGATGAGCTGGGGTGGGGTGAGCTGGGACTGGGGTAGTTAGGATGAGCTAGCTGGGGCGGGGCGGACTCGGACAGGCCAGGATTTGGCTGGGGCTGAGGTGGGGTGGAGGGAGACGAGGCGCCGCCACCGGAAACCTGCCGGCGCCGCCGCGCTGCGTGCCGCTGTTTCACGGCACATACCGGATGGCGCCGGGGCGGGGCGGGAGAGGGGGAGAGGAGCGGAGCGGAGCGCGACTCGGCTCAGCAGGGAAGATCCCCTCCGCGGCCGTATTTCGGTGAGACGTCGCAGAGGCTCCGAGGAGGGTCGGGGAGGCTCCAGGGAGGCTCCGGGGAGGGCCGGGTGCGTGGGGGAGCGTCGGCCGCAGCTGGTGTCGCCGCCGACGCAGGAATGTAGCGCGGCCGCGTGTCGCCCCCCCCCCCCCGTCCGGTGGCGCCGTGCCAGCCACGTGGCCGCCGCCGCCGCACGTGACCGGTCGTGCACGGCGCGTGGTGCACGGCCGCCTGGCACGGAGCAGGGCAGCGGCCGGCCGGCCTGGCACGGTCAGACCTCTGCACGTCAGCCTGGCCGGCCGGTGGCGGTGTCCGGGCACCTGTCAGCTATAGATCCTCGCCCGATGGACGGACTGCCTACAGGGAAAGAGCTGCTCTGCAGGGCAAGGAAGGATCAACAAATAAACAGCACCCACTAAGCTGCAAGCAGTTAGTTCCGCGGATAATGAGACCAACTAATCATCTTTAAGCAGTACCGCAAGCAGCATACAAAGGCCAAAGCCAATAGACTAAATAAAGAAATAGAAATAATTGGTATGTTCAATTGTTCAGAGGGCATTCATTAAAGCAGGCAACAAAAAGTGTTGCTTTTTGTCCGAGTCGAAATGGACACACTCCGAGAGAAAACTGTTTCTGCATACACTGTTTCTGAAAACTGCTTCTGTATGTTTTATCTAAAAATGGGAGAACAAAGCGCAATGTTTTACGCAAGTTCGATACGCTCGATTTTCGACTTTCGCCCTTTGAAATTTACTCTATTATCCATATATGTATATGAGGGATATCCACAAAGTGGTTATGAAGTCGGTGAACGGGATCAGGGTGGAAAAATGCAATAATCATTTTTCTCACGCAATGGCGATTCATAAAAATCTGGGAACTGGGCGGAAGAGCATTTCAACTGACTACAGCTGCAGCTTTCACGTCAGTAACGTCTACATCGGTGCAATTGCACAGTGCACACACGGCATCAAATCCCATACTCGGCATCAAACCTCAAGTCGACACCTTTTTTTTAAACCCCACATTTGTTCTCCGGTGAATTTCAGACAAGTTGGTTAGAGGCCTTCAAAAAAGGTACAATCACTCGATTTTTCTCAAGTTTGCCTGTCTTGGCAGATAGAGCAATACCAGAACAGGCCTACGAACACACATATTTGATCAGGATCGGACGATTGGACACTTTTAAAAGGAGATCTTTCGTGCCTCCCGGAAATTCACGGGAGAGCAGATGTGGGGTTTAAAAAAAAGGTGTCGATGTGTGCTGGTTCCGCTGCCTGAGAGGACGAGTACTCTTTTATTGTTACGCCCCCTTTTCTTGGATAAAACTTTTTATCATGAACATGTTTGGCCTTCCACTGCTCCCATCTGGACAGGGGTGACCGACGCCCCTCGGCCTGACCCGGCGGGCCTCCTGCCCTGGGCCGCCCCTGACGTCACCGTCCGCCAGAGGGCCGCTCCAGTTACCTTCTGGCAGCGGCCGCCCTCGGCTGCCATATAAAGCCGGGCGGCGGCGGGCCCGGCGGCGGCCGGGCGGCCGAAATAGCCGGCGGCGGCGCCATTGATTCGTCTCCCTGCAGGCCGGGCCGGGTCAGGGCAGACCGGGTCGGGCCGGGGAGGCGGGCCGGCCTGGTCCGGACGGAAATAGGGCCGGCGGGAGCGCCCGTTCCACCGCCGTCCCGCCGCTAGGTGACGACGCAGCCTGGTCCGCGAGGCCCCACTCGGGCGCACCCTGCCACGAGCGGCCGCACCGACCCGGCAGCCGGCCACACACCGACTGGGTGGCGGGCTCAAATGTTACTGATAGGCGGGCGTACTGGCATCATAACTTCAAAGGCAACTCACACTTTTACTCCAGAAAAGCACAACCAGCGGATTATTATCATTGCTGATTGATTATAACTTTTCGGGGGATATTCTAAGTATTTCCATACCAGCGGCTACCCAGTCAGCGTCCTGAGAGTTTCGACTGAGGAACAGTCGGAACGATCCAAGCGGCCTTTGGGCCTCACCTTGTTTCGTAAGCGTGAGTGCATGAGTACCTAATGCAACGGATGCTTTTCAGCAAGTGGTCGCAGCACATTGATGAAAAACTGCTCGATCATGCACAACGCAAGGCACTGCGATCCTCACCACACTTTTCCCTTTTCCGCATGATGAAATAAGCCTGTCAGTCCATTCAGCACCAGCAGATGGACCGGCAGCAGCAGCGCGGCAGCGCCTGTCTGGCCGACGGCGCCTGTACCGCCGCACAGCGGAGCTCGGCGGTACAGTCTACCCGTACAGGGTAGACAACAGCCGGACCGAGCTACGGCCCGACGGCCCAGCGCGGTAGCCCTTCTGAGTCGGGCTATCTAACTGTAACTGCATGCATGTGTTACATTGCTTACAGGCAATTTAATTTATTAACCCGCGCCCTGGTGGGGTCTGTTTATAACGCGACCTGGTGGGGGGGGGGGGGGGGGCTATTTTTTGCCCCCCCCTCGTATCTCCGAAACTACTGGACGGATCCGCAAAATTCAAACGGCGTTCGAAAGGCCTGTCAAATTTGTTGAAGGAAACCAAATTTCATTGACCTCGGGGTCACCGATGACGTCACAGGTCAGGTCAAAGATGAAATGTTTCACCGTTCACGGGTCTTCTAGGGAATGCGCTATAACACCGAGGAAAACGCATTTTGTCGAGAATCAGCGGTAGGGCGTCAGTTGCCTGGTAGATATGTTGCTATTAGAGGTCACTGGAAATACCAGGTCAGGTCACAGGTCAGGTCACCAAGGGTCACAGGTCAGGTCACATGAGCCCAACTTTACTAAGGTTGTGTGATGTATGTTTTATGGCCAATTTTTCATTTCCAACTCAATGGTGTTGGTTATAAGACTATCAGGTACGGCTTAGGTCACTTTCTGGTGAAGTTCAGGTCAAGGTCAGGTCAAGGTCAGGCCAAAAAAGGTCAAATTTTAAAGTTGATAGTTTTGCATAAAATGGGTATTGATTCGATGCGGCTCGTCACGGGGAGTCTAATGGTGGTCTTTGTTTTGCGCTACGGGGTCTAGAATTGCTAAAAATTGAGTTTGAAAATTTGACGTCATCAATTTTAAACAGTTTTTTCGCTATAACTTCGCCAAAAAAGAGGTATTAATCTCAAATTTGGTATGTGGATGGAAGGCGGTAAGGACTATCACATATATTCCGGTTTTTGCGAAATTCAAAAAACTTTTTGGATTTTTCGATTATTATATCCAAAAAATATATTTTTTGATTTTTGGGGGTCAAAATCCAAAAATTTCAAAAATCCGAGATAGCAGTTTTGTAGCCCTGTCCAATTTACAGCTTTTATGTCTTAATCATTTTTCTGTATTTGCAAAGCTATAGGCCTGACAGCTCTTCCCGCGAAAACCTTTTTTGGGTCGAAAACGGCAGAACATGACGTCACTCTGACGTCATTTCCGGCCAACCTATCATAGCCTTCGGAAAAATTGTTGGTCACAATGTGTAAAATTGATGTCCGGGAGGGTACTGAAAGTTTGGTGACGATCGGCGCAGCCGTTCTGGAGATATATAGAAAAGTGTGGAGGGGGGGGGGCAAAAAATAGCCCCCCCCCCCCCACCAGGTCGCGGGTTAAAGTGAGTGGTTTATAGTAAACAACTAAACGGCTCGTCAGCTGCTGGCATTTTCGCACGGAGCTCAATTGGTAGAGCGTGATTCCCGACTCGGCCGAGTCAGAGTTGAAAAGGTGCTCGATATATGTACGCAATATGCATTGTATGTTATGAGACTATCGACAAGGATGGTCTGTGTTTTGCTCGATGGGAGCAGCCGCAGCCAATTGAAGTCAGTACTGAGGGACGGATCGTATCTCGCTATGTGGGAACGCTAGGCCTCGGCTTCCAAAATGTCCCAATAACCCGGAGTTTACCGATCCGACGGTGGAGCTCAGGGTATAGGAAACAAGCTCTGGTTAGCCTCGGCTTTAGGTTCGCCATTCCATCTATTCATATTTTTCGAACTACATTCGCCTAAAGAAATAGCAAAGCAATGCTTATAATAACCAGGCAGTGCGGTAGAAACATGCACCCCATGGAAGGCAAAACTTTGGCATGTGAGAATAACTG